ATGATGTCCCGATGGCCAGAAGATTGTCGTCATTGATTCCGCTATCTCTAATCATAAATACATCAGAAAAAAAAAAAAAACGCGAAGAAAGCAACCGAAATTCGAGAAACACGCACGTCCAAGGCCTTCATCCGGGTCTTTCGCTCGTTCCAAACCACTCGTAAAGCGTGTTTCATATGCATCGATTTCGGCCCTGTGCTTCGTTTCAGCTTCGGTCCGAGTACGATCGAAGTTATGAGCCGAAGGGCCAATCAAACAGCGAAAGAGGCACAACGTCATGGCGTGCTGTCTGCAGTTGATAGGACCAGCCGGTATTCGCAGTCTCTCTGTGCGCACTCCTCCGCCGGCTAGACCTATCAAGCGCAGAGGGCACGCCATGACGCTGCGCTTTTCGCGCTCTTTGATTGGCCCTTCGGCGCATAACATCGGCCGCGCTCGGACCGAAGCTGAAACGAAGTATAGAGCGGCGCGATTTGTGCCGTCGCGGCGCTCGTGCCGCTCAACCGCTGGTGCTGGCCAGAACGCCGCGACGGCAGAAATCGCGCCGCTCTAGGGCCAAAACGGCTGTATGTGAAACACGCTTAACAAGGAAAGCGTCGGCAGCCACTTTCCTCTTTTCTCTCTTTCCCTCTTTCAGTAAGACGGTCATATCCAAGGGCGATCTCGAACTGCGACATCGTTTTCTCCGCCGGTTGTCTTGTGTTTCCCTTTTGTACAAGACCAGACGAATCTTCTTATTCAAGGGACGCTGCACACCAGACTTTCAGCACACATTCTTTTCTTTTTCGTAACTTCTGACATTGTTTTTTTTCCGGAATATTGACGGGCTTCGTAAAGCACGTGGATGAGTCTTTACATTTTTTCGGTGGTAAGGTACTCGCTCGAAATTCGTATACTGTTTTACGAAATAAACTATACCATGACTTTCTTGTTAATTTGTTTTCGGTGCCGATGTATCGGTCCCTTTTTGCGAATGATTATGAACAAGGGCAAGAAGTCATAGTTCTAGTGCAAAAAAATGTGTATAATGCAGTCGGCAAAAACCTTTTCCTTTCGATTACTTACCAACACCCTGCCTGTTAAGCTCTGGCTAGGCGAACGGGGCATAATCATCCCGGGGGGCGTAAACTGCCCGTTTTCCAAAGTCTCGAAAACCATTGAACATTGTTTTTTTTTTGAACTACTGGAATGTATCGCGTTTTGGGGGGATGTCCTTCAAAAAACTTTAAAGACGGAACTTTTCGTGACACCTCGCGCTATTCATATTTTACCTATCGAGTCGCACGAGAGCCTACCGCTCGACATGATTATGGTTCTCGGATTGTTTAGTTTGTGGATGTCTGGAAGGACTGTCAGGCATGCCGAACGATTCCCCAGGACAGCACGAGTCTACTTTGTTGACCTGGTTGCACAGGTGAACACTGCATACAATCAGAGCGAGTACCCGCCTGTGTGGATCAACGTGCCAGATAACCACACGCATGTGAAGGAATACTCAATAACCACCCATAAGCGCTGGAAGGCTGTTTTTAAAATGTAGATACATTTTAAAGGAGTACATATGTACTTTGCATATATATAAATAAATATATATATATATATATATATATATATATATATATATATATAGGGTGTTTTTTAAGCTTAACAGAATTGTTAAAAAAAAAGCCGTGAAAGTTACACTTATGCCACTTATGGAGTTGAGTTATACGGCCAGGGGGACACATTATTAGCGGCGAGATGGTTCGGTGGCGCCCTCGTTCGGTTACCTTTCGTGACGTCATTACCTTGTGAACAACAAGTTCGATGGTGTTTGTAATGGGCATGGTGGAATCCTGAAATTATAGCGCTCTCAAAGCAACACTGCCAACACCGTCAAAATTGAAGTTCTTACATTCCTCTTAATTCCGTCGATGGACATCCTTTGCTGACGTCATAGTCACCATTCGGCCAATTGTGGTGGGCCGACCACAGCGACGCTTTCGTTCGCTCACGTCGCCAATAGGGGGCTAAACGTGACGATCAGTCGTTTAAATAATTAATATTCGTTGATTAATTTTTTAATTAATGAAAATACTCATATGGTTCCGATTAGAAACTTGCTCAGCCTCATCGAAAACCACTAAATCCGTCATTTTCAGAAAGTCTTTCGGCGCGTGAGAAGCGTAGTATTGTACTAAAGTTACCACTCGTGGAGCAAGTACAAGGCTGGGGCTAGATAAGAGACGGAAAAATCGCGCAGGCTCCTTATCGCAACCGCTAGCTTTGTACCTGCTCCACGAGTGGTAACTTTAGTGCACGACTACGCTTCTCACGCGCTCAAAGTCTTTCTGAAAATTACTGATTTAGTGGTTTTTGATGACGCTGAGCAAGTTTCTAATTGGAACCATATGTCTAGTTTCATTAATTAAAAAGTTAGTTAACGATTTTTAGTTAATTAGTCGACTGATTGTTACGATTAGCCCCCTATAATATGTCCCCCAGGGAGTATAACTCACCTCCACAAGCAACATAAGTGTAACTTTCACGGCTTCTTTTAAACAAATTTGTTCGAATTAAAAATGAACAACCTGTATATATATATATATATATATATATATATATATATATATATATATATATATATATATATATATATATATATATATATATATATATATATATATATATATATATATATATATAACGGGCATGGTGGCGGGGGGCCGAAGGCGTGGGTATTACAAACCGTTCGTTGTTGCTGGCTGGTTGCTGGTTAGGTGCACAGACATATGTGTATGTCTGTGCACTTAACAAAGATATAAAAAAGCGAGAGTAGCGAAGTGGCTTGCGTTCCCGGATTTCGTACCGTAGCGCCAGGTTAAAATCCTAGCCGCAAACCCTTGTTTTATTCTTTCGTTAGCTTTTTTTATAAGGAAACAGAAAGAACACGCAAGTTCCCTTTATTTTCCGCTAGTGCATAGTGTTATTCTAGTACTTTCTGTGGGGTACGCGATGTACGCCACTCTTGCCATAAAAGAGCCTGCCCGTGGCGGTAGGGGCCAGCCTTTTGCCTGCGCTCAATTCAGCTGTAACGCCTCCTTCGACGCCCGTTACGCCTGGGATGCGCGGGCCCCGGCCCATGCCCCCCCTCCCTCCCTCCCCTCCTTAAATCTTCTATTTTGCTGGGGCCTCCTCTCCCCCCCCCCCCCCCCTCTCATAAAACAAATATGAACATACGGTAATATGTTCCTATTTGTTTATAAAAGTAACAAGAAATCAATGTGTCATTTGCTACAAGACTTTTGTAATTAAATTATGTTACCGAATGCCGCTTCGGAAATATACAATAGCTATTACAAAATTAGTTAAATAAATAATTACATAAAAATATTTCGTTATTTGGGAAGGAGCACTTCCCAACTGGGGTAAGAATGCGTATGAAGGTATATTGGCGCCAAATGTGACCAAAATACCACACTGTGTGGCGTTTTATGTATTTGAAGCATAATAGCTATGGTCTGCTCGCCGAACTGTATAACAAACGTATCGCGCTTTTTCTTTATGGAGCGAGTGTGCCAGAATTTATGGCGCAGTCCTGTTAAGTCTTATAGTGTGTACAATAATTAGTTCAAATCTAAAAAAGTTTTACGCGATGTTGTTTATGTTTCATTGCTTTCTTTCACTTTTTCGTCACATTTCGACGCAGCATTTCGTGTTTGAGGACGCACTCAGCTAGGCAACCTTATTCCGTCTGCTACAACTAACGGAAATTAAAGTAAAGTAACAAGTGTACTTTAATTGTATTTAAATACTCTGTTCCACCGAACGCTCTTCGCCTCGTCTCCGGGGCCTGTCAACATGATCGCTCACCAGCTCGCCAGAGCGATCACCCCCCATATTTCTCTAATACTCCATACAAGTACAGGTGACTGCGATGGGTCAATATCGATCAACGAGAGCAAGGAGCTAGAGGCTTTGAGTCCTACCTGAAAGTAGAAAAAGAAGCCACGACCAGCTTCGAACAGAGGCATTGGTCATGACCCAAAGACCCCATTCAAATGTGCGCTCCATCTCGTAGCAGCCGCGCCAATCACCCGATACTGCCATTAGGCTCATTAGATTGTCCTGCTGCGCCTCCTGCACCAGCCGCGCTCGGCGTAGACGGGCCGTGTTCGATTTACCAGTGTCGCCTATCCGAAAACATAACCGGAAGTACATTACCCCGCACTTCTCTGCACCGCGTTCGACCGCGCGACACTTTTCTGCACCGATGCAGGCTGGTGCAGGCAAATCGAACGAGCCGGTTGTTTTGGTACATACTCTGAGCATGTATCGAACACGAGGGCTGCGTTAAGGCTGGTTCACGCATTAGCGTCGATCGCGTTGCGCTGCGATGCGTCGCGTTGTACAGCGCCTCCCCATTGCCTCGTCGTTAAATGTCGCCGTAACCACAGGTCGACGCGAGGAGTCTTAACGAGGCGGCGGTTGCAGTCGCACAAGAACGCAACGGTGTGAACGAGCCTTTAGCGTTCGGTATAAACTCGGCTCAGCCCCGATCGACAACGACAGCTGCGTCACAAGTCGGTAAGGACAGGGATCCGATCGCACGCTTCTTCACCAAGAAATAGCGATCGTCAGTGTTGCTCTACGAGGTTTTCAATAGGGTTCAATTTGAACGACGAAGCGAGCGAGATTGAGCTAGCCGTGCCCGCTGCCTTGCGGGGCGGCGAGCGCGACATGGCTGTTTTTAAAGGAAGCGCGTTAAAGCCAGCGTTGCCTCATCAACGACGCGATCTGTCTTGGAAAAAGACAGAAATAATTGAGCAACGCGGCTGCCGCGCACGTGTGTTGTCGGGCTCTCTGCCGGTCCAGTCATCCGGTGTTAGATAGCGCGGCACACCTTCGAGGCCCCGAGCTCGTTCGGCGTTTATCATATCGCCGCCAGTTTTACATCTACGCGAACCGTCCAACTCGTGCTCTAATCAGGTAAGCGCTCTGCAGCCTTTCCGCGGAGGAAGTGGAATATATAACTTCGGAGCTGCGCACTCGATATATCATGTTACGATCAATTGAGGAATGCATTTAACTTGTAATTCGTATACTATAAAGACGTGAAAGCACGTGAGTATTTTAGAGCCTCATGTTTATTAAAAAAACGGTGTAAACTGTTTAGGTAAGCTTTCAGATTCGCTACACCATTTCCCTGTATATCGCGACTATAGTCCCGCTATCGGTACGTCATCAAATTGGCCTACTGGACGTTTTATCAAAATTATTCCTCAACTAAAGAATCTCGCTTTAAAGGATCATTAGAGAATAATATCTTAATATAGCATCAGGCCACAGGATGTTTTATCAAAATTATTTGTAATCTTTGCACGAAAGGATTTTGGCGATCTGCTTGGTTATGCAAGTGAAGTGTCTGCTTATGTCATCCGTGGCAGCGTGTCCCTTGCGAGCAAGACGAAATTCCGTGGTTTTTTATTTTTTGTTCGAAATACATTAGCATGCAAGGCAAAAATAGAGCTTGGGTATTGCAAGATTATAGTGAATTTGATGTTCTTAACTATTTTAATACCCGCACTATAGACGATTGACATCAGCTGCGCATGGGCGCCACCCTAACAGACCCTCAGTTTTTGTTTCCTCTTATTTTTATCACTTCGCTCCATGATTACCACAGCAGTACGGGTCATTGCCATTTTAGATTCGACTGTGTCCTTCTCCCTAGTATTTATCTTTGCGGAGGTTCACAAACGCCCACTTCAGTGGCTTGGTATCTCGGCAAGACAAAAGAAGGTCGGCAGTGGTGGCTGTAATCTAGCGCTTGTGTAAAGCGTCTATATAACGATATTGTGCCTTGAATTTATCATTAAAAATGGTCCGGTAATTATGCGACTAGCGGGGAACTGCGTTTTTGCAGAGAAATACGAATTCAACTATACTGCGTGTGTTTGTTTCAACCGTTATCTAAAGTGAATATTATTTACTTTCATTCGTATAGTATACTGAAGAAAAAATTATTTCATGCAAGAAGGCTTACTGAACTAATTTAGTGTCCACATTCAAGAACCGAAATATTAGGGGGAAAATCGCGAGTAAACTAGGTTTGTCTGCTTGGCAAACGAATTTTCTGACATCTAATTTAGCATGGAGACACGACAGAGGGTTTCTGGTAAAGATGGAATCAATGCAATAACCATAGAAGGAACGCAGAAAAAACTTTAGAGGAGAGGCCGAATTCACAAAACTTTTTAACAAAAAAACAAACAAACATATAAATACGACTGTATCACATCTCATTAACTATTCGGTATTTACGAAGCAAATTGTTTAAAGGTTTTGCGTAGATTAAGACAGAAACCAAAATGCCTGCCAAGTCCGACTTCAGTCCCGTGATCTTTAGAAAAATGCTTTTGAAGCGGCGCCAAGAAACGCTGCGTCAGCACCACAACGCTAACTATTTCCTTGGTAAAAACAAATTATGTGTCATAATTTAGGGGAAGTACTCAAGGTGAAGAATATTTACGTAAAAATAAATTGCACGTAGTGGAGGCAAGGCGACGCCAGCCGTAATCGCAGCAATGCTTCACTCCCCACATTTAGCTCTAAGAAAAGTGGAGCATTCCCTTTCCCGCAAAGCAATTGTGAGAGCCAATAACTGCAATATACGCAGCCGGCTCGTCGAGTGACGAGGCTGATTTCTATCTACGCTCAAAGTTTCTTCGAAAGAATTCTCGTACGCTACGTTCAGAGGAATTTGAACATTTACGAAACACCGAATATTTTCCCTCTTTCCCTCAGTTCTTCCGTCGTTCGTTCCTAAGCACAAAACGACTCAAGATTAGTCATTCTTAGTGAATCCGGCCTCAAGTAAGTGTAGTAGTACCTTAACCATGATATGAGTGTGGGCAGAAGTAAATAACTCACAACATGTTTTGTTTAAGCTATTTCTCGGAGCCAAATTATTAGCGTGTTTCAACAGCTATAGCTTGCGCCTTCAATCTGTCCCATGATTGTAAATAGACCCCTTTCGAAAGTCACGTGCCGACTATTAGAACGTCGAAACCACTGCACAATGGCGGAACAACGGAATCAAGGAATGTGACAGCTATTCCATAAGATAGCGAATGTCGGAACGCGGCCAACACTAGGAGCCGACGAGCCAATCAAGCAGCGTCAAAAGTGTAACGTCACGGCGCTTACCACCTTTTTCTGTGGGAGTTTTTTTCCTTCTAATCTAACCAAACGCATGAGGTGTGCCGGGATGTTGCGGTTTCAGTCCGCTATTGTGCAGGGATTCCACAGCTGCCGACTGAGGGCAGAATTTCGAAAGGGGTCTATACTATGAATCTCTCGTGGGACTCCCCAATTGCGGCCTTTTGAAAATACAGCGTATTGACAACCTTTCGCTTCTAACCGCAGGCAGAGTCACCCTAAGGAAGATGTCAGCACAAAATCCACGTCACAATGAGAGCACACGCCTTCCAGTCCAATCAAGAAGCACGTCCAGCCTCCGGGAATCTTTGATGAAAATTGCGAGGATCCTTCCATTAGCGTACGGTTATATGTGGACCGCTGCCCTGGTGAACCTGTCCCCGCCATTTTATCCTGCCCTGGTAATTAACCGCTCGTTTGTAATTCTTTCGCGAAGCCAGCCGTTCGTGTAGTCAATGACAGCTTAGGAAACGCGGGCGTGGTTTGTTGCGCCCCCGCCTCTTGCTCTGTGATTGGTTATTAATCGTTCTGATCAACTAATTCCGCAATCTCATTGGCTGCGGAGCGATAATGAGATGATAATGATATGCACGGGGATCACCAGGCCCTGCGTGTTGTTAAGCTGCTGACGACACTAGTGAGTTTGTGGGTGCCGTATTTCTCACGAGTGAGTTCTATTGAATAACGGCTGCGGAGTTCTTGTCTGTATATATGGTATTTGAAAGGTACTCGTGGCTGAATTCGCGAAAGACTGCTGTCGGTTTTTTACTTTAAAGCATCCTCATACACAGGCTGAATGGGAAGTCTGCACAGCACGTGCAGGGAGTAAATGCAAAGGAAATGCTATGTAACTCAGGTACTGAGCCCTTTTAACCGCAGCATTTTGTCAAACCTGACAGCACGAAAATTGCGATAATGGAACGCTCACGCACTTGTCGTGGCTCTATATACGTAAATGAGCAGCTGGCATATGTAAAAACTTTTACTGCAAAAAGATTAATAGGGAACACCATATTGTTATGTTGTTTTGAGCTATATAAGGTCAATAGCGAACACCACATTATCTTGTTGTTTTGAGCTATATAAAAGTAAAAAATGTTTGCGAATTTTCGCCGAATCCATTTAAACAAGGCGTTAGTGGTGTGGACATGGGCCAGAGTTCTAGTGTTTGCCTTTACCTTGTTCAAAAAGTTATAAGCAATTTTCGGAAAGTTTCAGTTAAAAAATTGGGTCGGCTCCAGGTGTCCGACGCCGTTCATCTCCATCTATTCATGGGGCTCGTCAGTCACCAACTTCTCACTGTGAGTTTCCGAAAATCGTTTATAGCTTTTTAACCGGATAACAGCAAGCTTTTACATTTTGGCACCTGCTCCGTACCGCTAGCGTTATGTTTGGGCGTAAAACGGCGTCCAACAAAATAAAATAGTTTTTGCTAAAAGAAAGAAAAAAGAAAAAAAGCAGTGTAGCTTTTTTTTTTTAAATTTTATTCGCGGGCATCTTGTGGACTAGTTCAGAATATAATGAAGATGCGACATCCAGTAAGATCCTTTTCGTGAATCTGGAAGTCCTGCGAAACAATATTTCCGGAAATATATTTTTATAACGTAGAAAATGCCAATGAAAGATAGCGATTTAGATGTTTCCTTCACATTGCAACTTTATAGGAATCTTCGCGCGTTTGGATTGCGCTGGCAAACCAGTCTCCTTTTTATATACATTTAAATCAGCTGCTTCTTATTATTGCATTAGTTCCCCTGCGAGCACTGTAACCAAGGAAAGATAAACGTTTCTTTCCTCTTGTTTTCTTTTTTTATTGTTTGGGGGGGGGGGGGGGGGGCGGGGAGGAGGGCAGCTTAGTAGTTTTTTAATACCTTCCAGAAGAAACAAAAGGGAACAAACAGCGAATCAATTGCATACTTTCTGTGGCGTTCAAAGAACAAAAAAAAAATCATATTTAAAACAGCTAAACAACTATCGAACGAGAAATTAACCTGACGCTTTTGCTTGAGCGTTTTCTCACTTGGGGAAAACCAGGGTAATCTGTGCAAAGAAGAAGATCGGTTAGTGATTAGCTTCTACAATCAAACGATGCCTCTGGGTTTGTAACATATTGTGTCACAATGCCAACCGTACTTCATACCCAAGACTAAGGAACCTAACACTAAATTATTGTACAAATTTGCATTGACAGAACCTACCCTGCTCTCCAAACAAATCGTCAGTTTAATTTTGATTAAAGCACTCTTTTGTCATTTCAGCAGCACAGAAGTGCGTTGCTTGCTTCACATCGAGACATCATAAAGATAACTAATCAAAATATACTGTATGAACCAGTACACAAATAGCATCAACCATCAGGAACATCCAGAAAAAAATACTTCATTAATAGTGCCATTCACCTTTTTATAATATTAAGAAAAATGACTCTAAATCAGTTCGCGTAGGTTGTTAAGCAAAGTTTCGAAAATCGGAAAAACAAAAGAAAAAAGAAAACGAAACATTGTTTTACTCGAATAAAATCAATAAATACTGCGTTACATAGATAGTGTAACATATCATTAAAATGAATGATAAAAAATGTCGAGCTTCAACGCATAAACCTATTTTGCGGGTATGGCGCAATGAAGATCAATAAGAACATAACGCTCAGTTAATCTCTGCAAGTATCGCGAATACCTCTAAAAATAATATTTATTTATGATTTAAAAATGGAGCAAAACATTCACCTACACTTCTTTTTGCAGAATTCCGCAGTGTTTTCGTAAATGCAGGGACAAGCAGCAGTAAAACGCGCAGCTCTTAAGAGACAAAATGACAAAAGAAAAATTCTGCATAGGTGCCTTCTCAGAGGAGAAAGATAACCTAATGACACTAATAACTAAGCCTTGCTCCCGCAACTCCAGTGATAATCGGCATTGCATATTAGTTGTTGGAAGACAGCTTTTCTGGGTGTTACGGTGAAAGGAAGTCAAATTACGTACTTCGCAAAAGTTATATATAGCAGGGGTCACCCAGCTGCCGCTCGCGAGCTGCATGCGGCTCTTTGCGAGTGTACTTGTGATCTTTCTGTGCCCCGAACTTAAGAGGCTACTAGGACAAACCGTCGCAAAGAAAAAGGAATCGAACTGGAAATATGTGTGGGTTAGGAACGGTCAAATCTTTGCAAAGAAGGCTGAGAACACGGTTGTTGTCAAGATACAAACTAGCGATGATGTGGCAAAGATTGTAAGTGCCTAAAACAAAACAAGAATATGGAAAACCCAAAATGCCTAGCACATACGTTGACCCTGCTGACTTGCATAAATTAACCAAAAAAGATACCTAAATTTGTTCCACTTAAATGTTGGCTCAGATAAAAACAAAACTGAAGATCTTGAACTCCTGTTTAATCATGTTGGTGTTAGCTTTGATGTAATTATGTTTAGTGAAGCATAGTACAATGAAGAATCATCATACTTCAACCTCCCTCATTATCAACATTTTGCTTTAAATCGTACAGATAAGAGAGGAGGTGGAGTTTCTTTACTAGTCCAGTTTCCTACAACTTCGGTGTTGATACCACAAGTTACAGTACTAACTGTGGATTACGAGTCACTTACAATAAAAAATTAATCAAACATCTATTGTGTTGTTTATCGTCCGCCAGATGCTGTTTTTCCAGATTTATAACCTTTTTTGAAACTTTGGTGGATTTTGCCTGCGTTAATAAATATATCTTATATGTAGGTAGCGATTTTAATATTGATTTATTGACCCCTTCAGCTTCACGAGCAGAATTAATGAATTAGAAGCATAGTCTGTTCACAACGTCTTTAGTATACCGACACGTGTTACATGCTCTTCCTCTACAAGAATAGATCTTTTTATCACAAATCGTGATGTGGCGCATATCACCGCTGGGGCAATACTTGCTGACATTAGTGATCACTTTCCAATTTTTTTGTCTTGTACCAAAATTGTTAGGAAACAACACAAACCAGAACTATGTCCCTCTTTTCAACTAATCACTACTTTTACGCTAGATAAGTTCCGTGAAGATATTGGTTGCGCTGACTGGAACTACATTTCGAACGAGGAAACTGTGGTCACAGCATATAACAAGTTCATTGATAACATTGTCGAAATATATAAGCGAAATTTTCCGTAAAAAAAGGAAATAAAAATAAAAAATCCCGTAAGCCGTGGATTACCGCGAAATTACTGCAAAAAAATAAATATCAAAAACAAGATATTTAGCACTTTTATTAAAACAAAGGACATAAAATCATTGGAAAATTATAAACGTTACAGAAATAAATTAAATTCAGAGTTAAAACATGTAAGAAGGAACTCCTATCATAAACAGTTTAACGAAACTATACAGGGAGATATTTTTTGGAAGCGACTCAGAAACGTTTTGCACCCAGTTGCTGAGTCGACCATCCAAAAAATAATTCTGAATGGAACAGACTACGATGGAGAGAGTTTAGCCGGTGCTTTTAATAACTACTTTGTGAATTTGGTCCCCGCTTGCAATACTGTGTTGACTGGAAATCACATAACCACTCATGCTCGTGTGACTCCTTATTCTCTTTTCCCACAAGCGAAAACGAGGTTGTCAATACGTTTCATAGCTTAAAAAACAGTAAATCTTGTGACATGGATGATTTACAAATAAAGCCAATAAAATACGTATTAGATTTACTTGCCCCTATACTCACATACATATTTAATCTAGTGTTAGAAACAGGTACCTTTCCTTACGAATGCAAACCGCTAAAGTAACCGTGATTCATAAAGGAGGCGATATAAATAATCTCTCCAACTATAGGCCTATTTCTATTCTTCCTGTATTTTCTAAGGGGCTTGAGAAAATCATTCATTCACGCTTAATTAACTTTTTTAACAAGTATATGTTGTTGTCTAATTCACAGTTTGGTTTCCGGAAAAATATGTCGACTGAGATGGCGCTCATAAAGCAGAAAGAGATAATTATTAAAGCTTTTGAAAAAAAAACTGGTTTCACTCTGCATTTTTATAGATCTTTCTAAGGCGTTTGACCACTTGAATCATAACATCTTAATTGCTAAGCTTGACATGTATGGTGTTCGTGGAACAATGTTATCACTAATTAAATCGTATCTCCTAAACCGTAAGCAGTGCGTATCTCATAATTCATTCCTATCATCTACTGAGGATATTAAATCAGGCGTCCCACAAGGCAGCATCTTGGGGCCCCTATTATTTATTATTTATAGGAATCGCGTTTTCAATATCAATACCGATGTACAGTGAATACCATAGGCTGATGATATAACCTTGTTTTTTACAGGCACTGACCCCGATAAACTTATAGTTTCTGCTAACGATTTTCTCTCTTCCTTAAAATATGGGCTGACTTGAACTGCTTAAAAATTAACCCTAATAAAACAAAGGCCTTACTGTTTAGACCCAGAAATAAAATAGCAAGTGTGTCTACAAATCTTTGCTTGGGCGGAAATAATATTGAATTCGTTCAGGAAATTAAAGCTCTGCGTTTTTTCTTCTCGGAACATCTTACGTGGGACCAACACATAAACGACGTTGGCATGAAATTAAACAAACTTAATAGCTTGATGAATAAACATAGACATATTTTGCCACAAAACACAAAAAAACTCCTATATAATTCTTTGTTCCTGCCGACTCTCACTTACTGTCATGTCATATGGGGAACAACTACAAATCAGAACATGTTAAAGTTACTCGCACAAAAAAGGGCTCTACGTATTATAACTAACGTTCCAGGGTTTACATCAACTCGTAAGTATTTTAATGAATTAAATATTATAAATGTGTTACAAATGCATGATTTCAGACTAGTTTCCCTTTACAAAAATGCAGTAACAATGAACAACGCACCACTGATACAACTATTTAATCGAATCAAACACATACCATCGTATAAAATAAGACAGCCCGAAATACGGAAAAATACCAACCGTCAGAACCTCGTATGGATATCAATCTATACTTCATACCTTGCCTGTTCTCCTTAACATCCTCGCAAAACAAAACATTACACCCGAAACATCAACAATACAGTCCCTGAAGCCCCATTTCATATTTTACTGATACGACGTTTTCGAATTTTTCTTTATGCTTATATGGTTTCTCGCTGTAGTATTTTTCTTATGTGACCTTGTTGTATATGTTTTTTTTTTGTTTTTTTTTTTGTGCATCATGATGTCTGCAATTTCATCACCTAATGTTTTACTTGTCTAGGTATGTAGGCATGTATGTGATGTATGTATGTGTGTATGTATGGCGTGTTGCATGTATTGTGTGTTATTTATGCTGATTCACCAGTTATAATATTTGCATTATCATTACTTGATTATTACTTGACCCGGTATATATATATTTTTGTGTGTTTATGTCTGTATTATTGTCACTCTACCTCTTCGTCGGTTAGACTTTAAATGTTCTGCTATGCTTTGAGTGATTATTTAGTTGAATTTTATTGTGTACTCTATTATCAAGTGCTGGGGGCAGGGGCCTGTCAAGCTGCAACTGCAGCTTTTTACCCTGCTCTCCACACTCCTTTGGAGTGAAAATAAACGATTATATTATTATTATTATAAAGTGCGGTTCGCGTCTCCCCAATAAACTTAACGCCCTCCCTACCCCCTCCCCGCCTTCGACGCTTTCCTCTCAGTCATACGAGCACTTCCACAATAAAAGAAAAGGAACGCGTTCTAAGTTGGAAGACAGGTTGCGGCTTCAGAATCTTGTGCTTCTGCTACATTATTATTTTGTAGCAGCAGCACAAAATTGTTTTTGACACAAATTATATAAAGTAGCTGAGCAAGTTTAATTTCTTGCTTTTGGAAAAAGTCTGGAGACCTCCCCCCCCCCCCTTTCCACTCTTTTCTGCCTTTCCTCTTCGAAGGCTGCTCTTGGAAGTCCAAGTTTAATTTCTTGTTCTATAAAAACGCCTGGAGCCCCCCCCCCCCCCCCCGCCCCCCCCCCCCTCTTCCACTCTTTTCTGCCTTTCCTCTTCTAGGCAACTCTTGGAAGTTTAGTGTGTGCGTGCGTGTGTTCTTTTTTTTTCTTTTGCTGCTCTTAGGCCAGGCCAGCCCGGCCACCGCTGATCTATAGGAACCCTGGCAAATCGTAATCATAGGCGCCAATATTATTTTAATAACATATAGAGTAGTGCAAATGGCTTCCTTCCAGCGGTGTCCACGATTACGTTGAAACAACCTGGGCCCAGCCAATTAATCTGTGTTGCCCTAATGATGGGCAGATAGAATCTAAGAAATCTGGAGCGTTTAATTTCATGCAAAACAGTTCTCTCAGTAAATCGCTGCCATCTATTGGGGGGTTTGGCGAATCACGAGGTTGAAAATATTGCCGCATGCAAGGCCGAGAGGGAATGCTACTCTGTACTTCTAGAAGATTAGCTTTACTCTTACCCATATGTTGGACGCTCAAACATTCTAGACCTTCTGTTTGAGGTAACGTGTGTATTAGATAAGGAGGCCTACGTAGCATTGCCGACTCAGTCTCGCCCTAGTTCGACGCTCGAACGTGTTAGGCCGAATTTTCGAGGTACCGAGTGTAATAGAAAAGAAGCCCCACGTGGCCTCGCCGAGTCAGTTACTCTAGCGCTAGCCAGCTCTAACACCGACATCCCGACGCTCGCTGCTCCTTTCACGACTCTCGTTCTTCCCTCTGGCACAAGTTCGCCGATTGTGCCTTTATCTCATTCTTACACTTGTCGATCCTTTTTTTAATGCGCGACATTTCTGAACGAAAGAACGAGCGTCGAGAAAGCACTAGCAAGCATCGGGGTGTCGACGTGACACCTGGCTAGCGCGAGTGTCACTTCACAAAGGCCACACTGGGTTCCTTATATACTACACTCTGCATCTCTAACATTGAGACGTCGTCGTGTTTCTTCCACCCAGTCTCAGGTGGTCTAAAAAATGGTAAACTTACACCAGCTCGCCTGCGCCCTAACTGTTTTTTTTTCATTATTCGAACTAGAATGTTCTAGCGCCAAACTAGGCGGAGACCAGGGTGTTAGATATGCAGGTGGGGAAACGGCCCATAGAACCCTACCGCAGCGCCGTGACCGGATTGTGTGCTCGTCTGCTTGCGCGTACCCCCGATGGCGCTGCGGCGAGAGGAAAAAAATTGGAATCGAATTTGCATGGAACTTTAAGGGAGAGTACGCAAAATAAACTGAGAGCACGACATTCCTTCATTGAGAATCCACGAGAAATCATCTCCGTCAGTTTAGCCGGTCGCCACCGGTCGCCCACCCGGAGCGAGAGTTCGCGGTGCTCCACATAGATGGCGCCACAGAAAAAGAGAAACCCGAGGGGGACACAATCCGGTCGCTCATTCGGCTCTCGTTTCCCCACCTGTCTATCTTACACCCTGGCGGAGACTGACTCGCCAAGGCCCATGTTGGCCTTCTTATCTATTATACTCGGCATCTCGAACCTTTTTCATAGAACGTTAGAGTGTCGAAAATTTGGGATACGCTTAAGCGAATCTTCTAGAAATACGGAGTACCGCTTCCTCTCGTCCATGCTTGTGACAATATATTTAGATATAAACTAACGGCCTTCGTTGCGGCACTTCGCATGAAGTTATATCATTCACAGTGCAACAGGTCTGGCTATCTTTTTAAATCGAAACGTTTTTAATCTCGTTATTCGACGATCTTTCTTCTTAAATTGTAGCGATTCGCTCTCCTGAACGCTTTGCGGGAAAGTAGACGCTCTAGGATTTTTTCAGTGTGTAATGTTAAAGCTGTAGTGTTCGCGAGCCCCTCATCTTCGCCAACTTCGCGCATTTTCAAAACTCTCAAACTTTAAGAACACGCAATTCTTTTAATTGTTGAGAGCTGAACTCCAGCCTTTAGTGTACGCGAAATTTGATCGTCGCAAATACAGCCCTTCTGCCGAATTTGCCACAAAACTGGGGCCCTCAAAACAGAAGGTTTTGCAGTATCCTCCTTAACAGAGAGTTGGCTTTTGTAAGTATTTCACGCTTCAACAAACTATACCATATGCTCCAGTGCGTTTTCTTCTCACGGAGTAGTAAATCTAACCGATCATTATTCGTTATGCAAGAAAAATAAAGAATGAGTTTTATTTAATTGCATCTATGTAAACTCTGAACATTGTGTGGTGACTAAAACAGCGCAAAGAAAAACAACACACTGTCTTTCCGGCGCGCAGTTACCTCTGAGTCTTTAATTTGTGATTGTGTTTTTCCAGGCAACTGCTCGGGGTCTGGCAACCTGGGAAAGCGGCTTTGTTTTTTCTGCGATGAAAATTGGAATGTTCATGGGATCTGTTTCTATGAATAAAATGGTGAGCACAAGCTTACGATTGCAGTTAACAGCGTCTCGCTTTTCCAGTGACGTTTTCATTGTTATTCGAAATATATACACGGTGTAAATACAAATGTAAGAAACTTGCTGACTGTTTTATACACATACAAACACAGAAGAGTAGAAAAACGGTCATGCCGGTATCATTTGATTATTTTTTTATTATAAATTAGATGCTTTTTTGGTAAATCGTATCCAGTACCGAAATATGTACTTACTTAGTTTCGTGGTGTGTGTACGCGCTAAAGATGCAGAACAAACACCCGAAACCTTGGACATACAGAACAGAAAGTTATCTAAAATTGGTTTTGTTCCAAAATGCTGGTTCCTGTAATTTAATATAGCATAATTGCCCACACCTTTTTTTTTAACAGTTTTTGATTTAATCATACACCTATCCTTTTATTTCCTACGCCGATTAAGGAATCCCAATTAGCGTAGTCATCGACAGCTTCAGCGAAGCAGGTAAAGGACTGTGAGCGTCTATAGCGTGATGCAAATTCAATTTCAGTGTGGTGTTTCTCTGAGTAGCCTTGTTTTGAATGAGGCGAAGACAAAAAGAACATCATTTTTGAAAAAGCCTGATACTGTGAGCTTTTCTTATACGTTAGACGACAACGCTATTCCTCGTGTTTCTGTGATTCCAGATCTGGGAGTGTATATGGATCCTGAATTTAATTTTAATCACCATGTCATTGCTATAACGAATCCATCTTTTAAAGTCTTGGGAGCTTTTGCATGTGTAACTAGTAATTTTTTTAATTGATTTTGCTTTTTACGTTTGTTTTCTCCCTCGTGCGTAGTCGCAGTGAACACGCCTCGGTGGTGTGGAATAGTATTGGAGTTAAAAATTTATGTATCCCCGAGCGTTTTCAAAGAAAGTTATTTCATGTACTTTATGATCGCTACATTTATTTTGATTATTACTGCAGTTATGAAAAAATATGAAGACTTATGAAACCGATTGCATTGCATAACAGAAAAATGAGACATGATCTGAAATTTGGGCACGAGGTCGTTAATAAAATAATTGATTTATCTGTATCGCTTAGGTGCGTACTTACGCGTTCCTCAGATTTCTTGCAGATCGCATTCAATGCTTTATTCTTCTGATTTGCATAAAGCAGAACATATCACACGGCTACAATTAACGTATAACAAATGCGAACATATTGCTGCGAAAAGTATAGCGTTGATCATTTTGACAACGCGCGTCGATTTTGAACTTTTGTTTTATTATATCGTGTTGTTCTAAAGTTTTTCTTCCTGTTCCTATTTTTTTCTGCTGTTACATAATAATCTAGAAAGTGCACCACTAAAAAAACGTCATGCTGTTTGAGGTCCACTCAAAATGAAAAAAAAAAAAAAGAATGAATAAGAATGCCAAGGAACAAATCACGAAGCGTTAGTGTCATCACAATCAGCCACGTCTTGTAGTTGATGAGCTATACTCAGTTTCACATTTTAGGTCCGGCTGCAGACAACGCTACGATGCGAAGTAGCCAATGAAGCAGCGCCCGCAAGTCCATCGTCATGGCGCTCGTTGTCGCTGAGTTTACTATCACTGGCTAAACCAGTCACACAAAGCGCAACTTGACGATGAGCGCCATGACGTTGCTCGACTGACGTTGCTCGATTGATTCCATCTGATTGTAGTGTCGGCTGCTGTCGAACCTAGGTGGCAACGAAGTAAAAACCTTTCCAGCGCTTATCACCCAAGCGAAAAATGCCGAGTCCAAAAATGCCTTGGAGACATGCGCGTCCTCTTTTATTTCAAGTAAGAGAGCCGCTGCGCATGCTCAGAACCCCCGTTCTACAGCCCAGTATACACTTTTCCATCGCTTATCACCCGGGTCAAAAATGCTGAGTCACTCAGCTGTGGACGGATTCGCAGGGTCTGATGCACCGTACAACAGTGCTCAGATGCTGTTCCACAGCGCAGCAGATAAACATGGCAGCGCGCAGAAAGCAATTTTTGGAAATGACTATAGCCAAAGATGGAAGTGCGCAGATGGCGATTATCGGAAGGTCTACGGCGGTGAACAAAGAAGAACGTTTAATCAGCATATAGATAGGTTGAAATCTGTGACCCTTTCTTATGTTTTTAACCCCGACGAGGTCATGCTCCAAGTATGGTGCACTTAGTGGGATGGCCAGCAACGCTGTCACTCGACGGAGACCCTCTCGAAGGTACGGAACCTTTGAACACCTGCCCAAGTAGCCAACGTCAGTGGGTCTTCGTCTTCTTTTTTCGTTAACATCAAAAGAAGCTGCTGCTGGGAAGACATAAACGTCCGGGGCCAATGACAGGGGCTGTTGGATTTCATTTTCATGAATGCCGACAGCCACCTTCAATAACAGCAGGATCGAGTCGGTGACGCAATATCGTCGCGTAACCGCGGATACTTAAGGGGGGCTCGCGGACACACGCGACAAGGAGAATCGGTGGTTTAGTGGGCTTACGCCTCTCAGCTCGGAGCGTGGAGCGAAAGCTTGCGCTGCACAACTTCCTGGCTTCGCCCCCCCCCCCCCCCCCCCCCCTGGCCGTCGTGAGTTTCACTACTGCGCCAGGTTAGCGGTGGTACTGCACTGGCTAAATTTCACACCTTATCTACACTTCAATGCTGTCTAAGCATACAAGAAAAGCAATTACTTTTCACGCGCGGTTGAGACAGAATGAGACTACCCTTGAACGCCCATCAAATCACGTCTAATTAAAACATAATCATCTTATAGCCGAAACCAGGTCTCCAGCCTGCCTGTCCCCCAGCCCTTAACAACTGGTGACCAGCGGTGGGATTTTGCCTTACGCGGATGAGCGCAGCAGCCACATTTCCAGCCGAGGAAGATGTGTCCGCAGGCGTCGAACGCCCCTGAGCAACGCCTCCTCTACTAAAACTTTGGTTGGGGCAAGTTGGTTCATATCGATTAAAAGGTGAAAAGGCGCAAACAAACAGGAGGAAAAGGTTAAAAGGCGCCTGTCCGTGTCATACGTGTGTCTTTTTTCGCCGTTTGTTCGCGCCTTTTAAGCTTTTAATCCTGTACTAAGATGCCTGTCATAAAAGCGGCGAGCGTCCTTGCGTACCCTCTCCCTCCTTCCTCCTCCGCCTCACCGAAACGACCGCGGATGCGCTGCCAACTGACACTATTGCGGCCGTGACAGCGCAGGAGATTTGACGTCTGCTATTGTGATACCAGTAGGGGTGTGCAAATAGTGGTTCAAATCGAATAGCGCAGTGTCATCGCTAGCATCAACAGCGCAAAACGAGCCGGTTACATCTGCTTCCCTTGGCGCCGCAAAGGCTATGAATGATGTTGTGTTGTACAGGGGGAACAGCACACCCGAAAAACAGTTATTCAAGTCCACGCACACAAAAGCAGACACAGTTACGCAGCGCTGACTAACAACTCTTCGGGATAATGACACTTCCGTCTTCGTCTTCTTTAAGTACGATGAACTATGGCCATGGAAAATAATCTGATATTTTTTCTCTCAATAGGTAGCTAAACCGTAAACCAAAAACTAAAATTAAAATTTATGCTAAATTAAATAAAATCAGCGCTCAGTTGCGAGCGGCCGGCCGCGCCAGCCGCACCGAGATTATGGTGCCTGGATCGCGTCTTCGACTGGTGTGTTTAGCGTCCTATCCCGCCCATACATCAAAAGTGGTCCCCAAGTGGCAACAAATGACGTCACAGAAGCCGGAGTATCATGCTGTTGCCTGTCACGATCCTGGCGGTTCGCCGCAGAAATGCTGGCGAAAAGCACGAGCGAACTCGAGTGTTGCTGTCGTCAGGGCGTCCCAGGCGTCCCAACTTCCGGCTGCACTAGCTTCCGTGAACTTTCACAGTGGAGAGCGACCTGCTGCAGAACAGGCGTCTGCCATTTCTCCACAACTGTCAGGACGCCGCCAGGGTCGCGACCGGCGACAGCATGACACTTCTATGACGTCATCAGGCGGAAATCGAGGGAGCACTTTTTTGGCCGCGGTAAACGCACCAGTCGGAGACGCGTTCCAGGCACCATACCGAGATGGCCGAGCGCCTAGCGCGAGTTGATGGTGATGATGATGGTGATGCTGTAGTCGTTTCTTTTGAACCGGGCGGTTCCGAGCCATGCTCGTGCCTAGCCGAAAAAATAGTGTCAGAGGCGAGCGCCACCGCGTGGCGTTTGGCTACAGCACGATGGCAGACCGGCCGCAATGGGAGAGTGAGCCATCTGACAGGCATCTTAGGGCCTTATGTTGCGCATTTTGGAGTCCCAGTCCTACAGCTAGTAGGGAGAAGGAAATGACGTCAACAACGCTGCAAACGCAGACTGGATGTTGATTGGTGAGAGTCGCTGGTGACGCATTTCCGCAGAAGAAACCAAAGCTCACTTTTTCTTTGTTTTCTTCTGCGGAATTCGTCATCAGCGACTCTCACCAATCAACATCCAATCTGCGTTTGCTGCGTTATTGACGTCACTTCTTTCTCCCTAGTCGTCATGGGAGTCCAAAAAGCGCAATATAGGGCCCTTAGTACAGGAGGCGTTGCCCTGAGAGCCCTGAGACTGGCTCGAGGTTCAACTTTCAATGATGCCTGGTCCTTTTCGGGCATCGGAACGTCGTCGCTGGCATCTGGCTGATGGGACGGGCGGAAAGGCAGAAATAGGGCGGTCGAGGTTTGCGAGAATGGGGCTCGAATTTTGACGAGCCGCTGAGCTTTCATGATCCTTCCAAGGTTGGCGAAGATGTGCTTGCCTCTAGGAATTTGAAAAGGTTTTAACGCCCGCAAGGCGAAGTTCAATTTAAATGCTTATCGTTTGATTGAGGTTTAACGCTTCTCGACGACCCACTGTATTTGGTTCTGGAGAGGAACCAGTTCTCGAGAAAATTGTTTTTACGCATGCGGCGAATTTCGTGCAGCCTGTTAGCTACCGTGACAACCCTTAGATTGAGAAGCAGTCCGGCATGCGTTCAAAGAAAATTTAAATATAACTTTTCATTCGTGCGTTATTTTGCCCTGTTGCGATTTTCCCTTTGGATTCCTCTGAGCCAAAGACTAGCTCAACATCGGAAGAAGCTTCTGGGAAAACTTTCTGTGGATATTTGAAAAAGGTATCTTGAGTGCAGTGTGCCATAAAACGCGAAGAGCACAGGTTTTATGTCGAGTTAGTTTTGAAGTGCATATTTTTGTAGTTTTAAAAGTTAAGTAACATAGGGTTTTGATAGAATATGATAGTATCGTTTGACTTACTTCAGTGTCGAGATGGGTCTGTCGAGCTAAGAAAAAAGGAGCTCATGGAGCTTGCTAGAGAACTTGAAATGTTTATTCCAAGAGCTGCTAAAAAGCTTTATCAAATTTCAGAAACATTTAAAACTACCCTTAATATTAAAATGCAAAACGTGTGGGATTTTATAGTGGAAAAAACGAAGCGCAGCTGGTCGCATCTTTAAAATAAATGTTAGAGGAGTATTCGGCTTCACTTTGACGTAATATTTCGGATGTGATCCTATTTCGTACCACTAAAGAGATACCAGTCATTTTATTTTGGTTTTCTTTTTGACCGGAGCTGCCCTTTTAGGTTTGGTTCTGTCTGACGATCGCATTGTGTTGTCGATGAGAAAACGCCGTCCTTTCAGAACACTTTATTAATAATACTTAAAATATCAGCATCATGTAAAATACATATTTTCGATAATAAAATGCGTGAGGGGCACATCAGGAACACACCGAACGAAGGCTTAGCTGCTTTTTGGGGTTCGAGTCTGGTGTCTGTGTTCCCTGCTGTCTCGGTCTCTGTTCCTTGGTCTGTTCAAGGTGCTTGTCAAACGCGGCGCCCCTGGGGTCTTTTTATCAGCAAGTTGGAAGCTCGTACTTCTGAAAGAGACCACGCTGCCTCCGGAAAAGTTGTTTTTCTCACCCTGGCGAGGCCGTGCTCAAATTACGATGTACTTACAGATACGGTCCGCAACACCATCGCTCGACAGAGGCCCTCTTGAAGACCCGGAACCAAAGCTTTTGAACATCAGCCGAAATAATCAACGTCAACTAAAGCCCTTTCATGTTTCAAATGTAGCGCAAAGTGCGCCGATGCACGAGTCACGTGCAACGTGAAGCCCTTGGGAAGATCATGGCGGCACAGCGCAGCACTGAGCTAGATTTCAGACGCCATGTTCTTACCAGAAGTGGCGCGCGGCATGTGTCTAGGGCAGTTCCACAACAATGAAGGGCGCCACTTTTCCCATGATAAAGGGGCTTTAACGTCAAAGGGTCTTCATCTTCCTCTTTCTCTAACATCGGGAGAAGCTGCTGCTGCGAAAACATAAACCCGGGCCAATGACTGGCGCTGTTGGACCTCATTTTCATCGACACAAACAGCCACCTCCAATCACACCAGGGTCCCACCGGTGACGCAACAGCGTCACGTCAGCGTGGCTCTAAGGGGGGACATGGGGACGCGTGTGGAAGAGACATAATTAGACTTACCATCGAACACTTCCATCAAATAATGTCTCTTTAAAACATCGTCCTATTATAGCACAAACCCTGTCCCCAGCCTGTTCTTCCCCCAGTTCTTAACACCTTATATGGTCATTCTCAATAGTGTTATGACTTATCTATCAGCGTGTTTTTTATTTTTAACTTATCCGGACGAGGGACACAACGTTCTTCTTGTGAACGTCCGCTATCCTCACGTGACGGCCAATGCATTACAACGTTTACCCGTCCTCAAACAGGCTTTTGAATGTATTACTTTGCCCGCGATTACCGGCACTTCACCAGCTATAATTTCATTTGTTTTTTTGTTATGTTCCTATTTCTTTGTTTTGCAGATAAGCTGTTTTTCGCCGACTAGAACCTACCTCATTGGCCAATGCCTTACGCTGCTCTATTGTGGGCTTTTCGGGTAACCTACATTGATTTCCTCTGACGATTTCGGTTCCAGATATTTTTGCCGCCAGGTGACGCCGTAAAAATAGAACAGCTGAGGAAGGTACTTTAAGGTTAAATTAAGAAGCTGATTACAACGCCGTTCGCAACGTTATTCAGAGAGGTCCAAATGTTAGGTTTGTTTGAGACGTTTGCTTCGGTACTTAAATTTTAGTTTCCGAACAAACATGTACCTTGAAAACGCTATAAAATACAAAAAAAAAAAAAAAACTTTAGGTGTCCTGGGGAACTTTACTGTACGTATGCTCGGCACTTTCCTTCAGGTGGTTTATATTTTTATAGCATTAAGCAATATTGATGACAAACATCGAATGAACAAAACAATATGTGAAGGTCGCTTGGTCGTAAAAAATGGAAATATTTTAATATTATTTTTTCATTATTACCGTTAATTGTATACATGCCGCAGGCAACTGAAGGGCTACAAAAAGGAAGTCACTGAAAGCTTCTAAAAGGCCAGTCGTAGATTAATATCATCACGCTTATCATTGATATCACATTAAAAGTTACGAAGATAGAAGATACGTATTTTTGTTATTCAAATCTCTGTAATTCGAATCTCCGTGAAATTGAGAAGCGACCATACTGTGCTCAGGATTCTCCACATTCCGTCTTTTTTTAACCTGTCGGAGACTGTACAATAAACAGATATATTATTTAATATAAAAATAAAGAACTGAGGTGGCAGTGCCACTGATATAAAAAAAATAACAGCACTAACTTCGGTATTTCTTAACGAGACTTTTGATAGATAGAAGAACAATACAGTTACACTTTGTTTAAAAAGTATAATATTTCACATCGCCTAATCAATTTATCTACGAAAGACATTTCAATAAATATGGAATCGCATACTTTACTGTCCACAAGAAAATGTAAAATACAACCACTATCTCTAATAACAATGCCATCATATGCGATGTCACAGGGTATAAATAGGGGGCTATATGTACAGTTGATAAAGTAAATTGTTTGTATACCTAGCGCGAAGAACATTAGGGATTGAAATATTCCGTCTTGTGCGATATTTTCTTCGGCGATTCGCCATGATTATCTCAGGACACGCAATTACGGCAGTCAAAAGAGTTGTTATTTAATAGAATAAGATAAACTTCGATTAGTTTGTTTTCCTACATTTTTGTAACAAGGAAAAACCAGCTTGAGAATAAATCTGCGTATTGGAAAGCGTTACCTTCGTATCTAATAGGTGGCACAGCTTTTTTACTAGGTTCAATCTTACGAATGTTTGGTGAAATGCTCGGGCTCCCTAAAACGTCAGGACACTAAAAGAGAAACCTACCTAATCTTAAGATCAGTCAGCTCAAATAGACAAACATATAAATACATAGTAAGTAGTGCTTCTTTTTCCTAGCGACCGACAGATAGCACATGGTAAACGAGCAGCGAGTACGACTAAGCTGCGTCAGCCACTTTTCGTTACCGCCCCTACCAAGCTTCACATCATAAAACGTCACTACAATGCTGCCAGCACGGTGGCGTTCGTGCGAATGTGCACATAGTTTCAACTGTCGTGACATTAATTGCGAACTAAATATTTCTGGTCTTCAGGACACTTAATTGGATACCGGCGAAGGTGTTTTTCTGGTTGTCAATACTAGCAATGCTAATTGGAGGATTCTCGATGATCATCCAGAACATAACAATGTATGCAGCTGCAACATTATTATACTCAACAAAGAAAGGAAATTTCATCGTGAGTATGCTATCGAACTTTTTTTGGGCCAGATATTATTTGATAAATGACATCTAGCCCGCTGATATTAATTGCCTCAAAATTAATATATATACTTCGTCCGATTTTGTTCATTCGAATTTTTTTAACTGGTTACGAGTGTGGTTCAAAATACTCTAAGCGGTATAACGCGGCACTATTAGCCCGAAGAAGATATTTCTAGAAATGTAAAATTATTTCAAGGTGAATTGAACGTTTAATTGTTTAGTACATCAATCGCTCGATTAATTCTTAGGAAATTAATAAATCAAAATTGTTCTCCTTCATGTTTTTTTTTTCATTATCCTCGCCGATGTCCCAATAAAAATCAGGAATAAAAGTTTAATACCTTCAGCGAGTAATATGCACTTACGGACTGCAATGTTTTAAATTCGAAGAATAAAAACCTTGCCGCTCTTATTGGGTATTTCCTTGTATTTGAAGCAAGCGAATATTTCTAGGTAAAGACCACATATACACGTTCCAATTTCTTAAAACGGACACTTAAAAGCTCGTGATTGGACCGTATTAATGATCAAACTGAGGTGAAAAGTTGTCTTTAAATGCCCTTTGGCATTTCAATGCCAAGTTCATGTCGGTATGGTAGTTGCTCTATAGAGAATATTTTTAAAGTCAACGCTATCGGCTTTCCTACCTTTTTGCTTTGGTTTCATTTCTGTGGCAGTGCTTTGTCTTACTAAATTGCCTATAACTTCAGATTGAGGCTTTAATCCTGCAAAAAGGTATTTTAACGGTCCTTTGTTTTTACAGGCGATAATGGAAGCCATTTTCGGTGTCGGGCTCATGGTAGGTCCAATCGTAGGAGGCGCTCTGATTGGCGTAAGTGACTTTGCTACTTTGTCGTGGTGGCCCCCTTGTTACGTAAAGCAAAAACTTTAAATTTTTATTTTAAGCTTATAACCCAGAGACCTTCTTTTTAAATTAAGTTTTTGAATATAACAAGAAATAATTTCATCCTTTTAGGCAATGTTTTGACATAAAGATATTAAATTTCCATTTGACGATTGACTTTGTTTTTAATAGGTTTTATCAGAAATTTAAATCGACCGAACACCGTAAAATGCTCTTAGACAGCTATGCTATGATCGACTCACAGGTACAGGTAGAGTACTCTGCTCACCAAATTTTAAAACTTGGACAATCATGCCCTTGTAGAATATATGCCACATGGCCTTCAACATAGAAACAAAGTATTAGCGGAGAGCTCACAAGTAACATGTTTCAGGGAGATAAACCACACTTCTACACTTATTTAAAAAGAAATGGTTATTACTTGGCACTATGAAACAAAAAAAAATTGCAATCTAAAATGGTGTTGGCAAACCGACTAAAAGTGGTGTGCATTGTCTTTGCAGCTGTGGGCTTTTCCACTGCCGTTTTTTGTAGTCGGCATTCTCCAAATTCTGCCCTTTCCATTCATTGCACGGAATGGAGTGACTCCGAAAGAACGGCTCGCAGGTTAGTTTACATTTGCAACAATCGAATTTGATAAATAATTCAGCTCGTTGGTTACACACCCTGCTTGTTACCAGGTTCATCAAGATTTTGGGCTTCAAAGACTGATGCGTAAAGAAACCTTCAGTAGAAAGTAATCAAGTAGTTAGTCTATACAGTTTCTCAAATTATAATTATATAAAAGCTATCTACGAAGTGAAAGCGATGTGCTTGAATTTCGAGGCTCCAAACAGTTCTCATGGTGGATTTACAAGCTTACGTTACTAATATTTAGTGAATATCAAATTCGAGCAAATTTGATTTTGTGCTGAGCATTTTGATCAAAAATAAATTTATATCAGCTGTGTTCTTTGCTTATTAGTAAAAAATATAAATGCAAGAATGCGAAAATGTTTACAACAAAATGTAGCCTTAGAATCATCTTACACCATGGTTACGTATGTCACTTCACAGTGTAGTTGGCATACGTAATATTTTTTTTATTTATAGTTCCCCCAACAGCTCATGACGCTCAAGCTCCTAAACAAAATTTGGAATTGAGACGGCTGCTTTTGAATCCAATATTCCTGGCAAACATGGTGACGCTAATGCTGGCTTGGGTAATCATCGGATTCAACGACCCAACCTTAGCACCGCATACCGAACAGGTACAGGTCGTAGTTGATTTTTAACTGGGACGCATCTGACCCTAAGATGTAAGATGACTTCACTTTCAGTTTAACCTCAACAGCATGGAGCTTGGGGCTGTCTTTATGGTCCCAGCCATCAGCTATGCGATCGGATCACTAACAGCGGGACTCTTTTGCCATTTGGAGGTGACAGCCTTGAATATTTCTTAACTGTTATGTCCCTTACCGAGTGTTTGATGTGGTTGAGAGTCAATTTCAAAAGGTAACCTTATAAGCCACCTTGAAGCATACGAGGAAAGTTATGCATTATCATTTGAATTAACCTATTAAGAAAAGTTACTGAGGGTAAGACAGCCCTACATTGATAAGAGGTTTATTTATACGATGGTACCTTTTGTAATAAAAGGCCATTATTGTTTATCTCAAGTACTAACACCATGACAATATTTGTTTCTAGATTTCGTTGTCATAATGATCACATATACACCTCTTATCTGCCCCTTTACCTTTTGTTTCTCTTAACTTCATCTAATTGATGCATTTCTTGCCAGAGGTAAATCCGGTTGAACTCGTCTAGAGAAAAATAAAACTTTCCAGTTTACTAAACAAGACTCCTTCAATAACACGTATGTGAGATCATAAGAACCCTAACTTTATTCGTCACTTCGCATTCGTCCATAATTGTTTCTACGAAACGCCGAACGCAGTCTTTAAGGTAGGAAATTTTTCTAACACAAAGATATGTGTAATGATTCTGACAACGCGGTGTTTCAGATGGAAACGTTTTTTGCTTTCTGTGGTCAACTGATGACTGTAATTGCCTATCTAATAATTGGACCAGCACCTTTTTTTGACACGGAGCCGTAAGTGTTAAGTTTTATTTATAACCGCCTATAATTAAAATAATGCTTGCGCTCCCTCCAGTAACATATGAAGATTTCGAACTTGTTGGTCAAATTCCCATGCGGGGACACTTAATCGTGGTGCCTTGTTTTTGTTTTCTTGTTTTTTCCCCAAGGATCGGAAATTTAAAAAAAAAGAACTAGAATATCGGTGATAATTGTCGCCGAATTGTATAATTTTATTTGGTATGTCCATCTAGTCGGTAATACTACTCTTCTGAATATGGTTATTCTTAAATTCCAATGAATAAAAGACATAATATGTTGTGTTAGCTTTAATCTGATTTTTTAACTTACAAATTGACTGGTTCCGATAAGTAGATTTATGCAAGAATTCATAACGAATAAGTGAAAAATCAAAACCTAAAAAGTTCAGTCATTATCTGTTATTTCGGCGAGAATAATACAAACAGAAGATGTGGCATTTTAATTCATCTTAAAATAATACGAGCAGATATCCGAGTAAGCAGTTTACTAAGCTATTCTGTTACACTATCGATATTCTTTTCTTGATTTTTCAGCGTCGTTAACATTGGGAAAATCACTATGGAAGGCACACTTTAGTCTATTCGAGAATGATAATGTGGAGGCTTGGGTTCCATCTAAGCATCCAAGAATAAGCCACATTTCTTTTGAATACCTACCGGCTATTGACAATTTTCACCTCGTGCTTTCAAACCTACTTTCAAGGCTTCGTCTTTAGGCCTCCAGGCGCTGTTAATATTTGATTCGCTCGAGAAGGCTGGTGAGCGAACCTGCCGCAACAGCTTCCTGTACTAGCCGTTAGGTGCCGTCGATTTCGCTGTCACCAAAAGTTCATCGAACAAGGACATTGTGTTGATCAGGTCATCAACTCTCAAGCTGGTGATAATTAGAAACAAACTTTACAAGACCTGTACTCTACGCCTAAAAGTATGCTTAAGCACAATATATGATCTGAAGCAATCTACCTAAAACTCTTTACTTTGTTGGAAACATTTTCTTCACTAAATAATTTACAACTTTCTACATTGGTGAAATTATACGCATCTTTCTATCTGAAGTATGCATAGATGACGTGGTTAATTAAGAGTCTTTTGTGTTTGGTTTATGATCCAGCACGACATCATATTGTGGCAGCAAAACATTTTTTTGTTTTTTTGCGGCGCGGATAGTGTAAAGTTGAATTTTGTTAATACAAAACTGATACAAAGTTGAAGCAAAATCGTAATGGGTGTTATTACACTAACCCAGGGGGCTCCAAACTTAATGGCAGATGAGCCGAATTAGGTGTGTGTCGCAGCTCCAACGGCTACAAAATAATCAAGCGAAAATTCCAAAAGCACTATATAAATACACAAGATAATTTGAACATAACAAGCCATAGTATAGTAAAATAGTTTTTAAACAAGTTATCCGAGGTGTAATAATAAACTACTTACATGCTGATAACTGGCTTGCTGGTAATACAGTTTAGTATATAGAATACTTGAATATTTCGTTAATTATGACATATAATAATAATTGTAGCCCAGAAACCTCACCGAACATAAATCAAGGCACTTAGAAATGTGGCCATATTTGTAAATGGCAGATGACTATTGAAAATGGTAGGAATGAGCATAAGAATGCGCAAAACCTACAACCTAGGAACAAGCGAAATCATTTTGACATAATTACACGGACATACAATTAGGGGACTAAAGATGATGATGTCGATGATGAGTATGTGCAATATGTGAGATACAAAACTATCAGCGGGATAGTAAACCAAAACGGATACGAAGCGTTTGGTAAGCATCCCAATTCCGTTTTCTTTTTTTTTTGGCACCCTCTTATTTTTGTGCGGGTAGCAACGGGCCTGTTGAAAGTGGGCCTTATGCCGGGCGTCACCGCAAGGACCGCGCCCAGCCGCGGGCCTGTCGGAAGGCTTCCGTGGGCTGGATCTGACCAGCCGGTCGAAATTTAGAGATCTTCCGACTATAGCCTAAAATCGGTACGAAGCCTTGGAAACCACAGTCTCTCGGTGTATTGTAGCAGCAAAATTAAAACCCTTTGCATACTATTCTTACTTTTGTTTGCTTATTTCTTTCTAGGAGCCTGTTTTCAGTGTGCGCCTCAATTGTGCTCATAGGACTTGGCACGGCGGGACAATTCATCTGTTCATTTTCCAACGTCCTTAAGTATACAATGTATGAATGAAACCCTACGTAAATCGACCATCTAGCTTGTCAAAGTAAACTTAATGAGTGTTCAGCAATATTATGGCAAGTTCTAACACTGATGCAATATAAATTACCTAATGTAGAGCCTTCTGTATATGATGCGGTGGAAATATTACTAAAAACTGTATCTTTAAACTTTTAGGGCCCTACTGAAGACGTAAAAGTCAACTAATTTTTTCACACTCGCAAAATTGGTTTTATTTTTAATGTCATTTTGTCTCTATTGTATATACTAAATCGGGTTTCAACTGCCTATTTAAAACACACGAATCATAAATGAATAGAAACTTTAAAGTTTACTTTAAAAAACAAAAAAAAACCTCAGTGCAACTTTAATGGCGCATATAATAATATTAAATGTGCTACCCCTCATATTAGTGGAGCCAATTCGGCTCTAACGCGGCGAGGTAATAGCAAAAAAGATAATTATAGTGGTAAGCGCTCAACTATTTATTGGTCTCTACCCTTTTTGTTTGTGATCTTGTAATATTTGTCAATGCTCAATGAGACGTAGAAGGCGAAAATGATGGGGTAATACTGTTGCTTGCTCTGATGCGCGTTAAATATTACAGACTACAGACGGTTTTAAAGTCTTAGCCACAACATCAGTGGCTTATTAAGCAGCTGCGAAATTAAATAGATGGCATTTTAAATGCCGTATGTTAGTTTGGTCCTCATATTCTGATATTACATAAAGAGACGAGTTTTTGAATTCACGTAAATTTTCTTTTTCAAAATGATGAAATGCAAAGTATTGTATTTTTATATTTTGTCGGTCTACATAAACGTGCATATGGCACTGCTACACGCTACACAAATGGGACCTTTAAGACACATTTAGTATATCCCTTCAGGCATACGTTAAAAACAGAATAAAAAAATAACTATTGTTCAATCTTTATGATGCATTCATTTTAAGTGCTCATTTCCCATTTTGGTTTTGACTGTGGTAGCTAGAGGAAAATGGGGTTTCGTCAGGCGAATATAGCCCCATTTTGTTGATCCTAATATAAATATTTCTCAAAGTTAAGCGCCTTGGAATAAAATGTAACATCTAGTATTTTTTTCTTTAGGGAGCAAGGATATAGTGACGATGTTCAAACAACTGGATTTGTTTCGTCAACAGTTTTCGGATTTCTCGTCATTGGGTAAGGTCACAATAATTAGGTTAAATTCTAAATTTAACATCTGTGTCTTTCAGCATAATGGCCATAAAACATTAAGCTAGAATTGTTATTTTTGTTATCACTTGAAACAATTACCCAGCAAGCCTTGACCGTTCTCGAAATTCAGTGCCATCTGGTTGCTCAAATAGCAGTTTACCACTTACCGTACTAATGGTGATAATCAAATTGCAGTCTGTAGTATTTTGGTAGGCACCATCACTTCCGCTAGTCATCAGCAAGTCCGAGCGTGTGTTTTCACCTTACAATCCTTTCTGGATATCTTAGTTGCGATTGCGACAAATATACAACCGGTAAGGACGAAGCACCGACCCACACTGTAGCCGCGATAAAATGTTATACGTCAAAGGGCTGTAAAACGGATTATGGGCCGCCATATTGACTGGACCACAGCTATAAATGAGCGCTTACGCAGGTCTTGTATTCAATTCCTGCGTCGCATTGTACTAACGCCTCGAATATATAGTCATCCCATCATCCGCTTCGAGAAGCTTCAACTTCTTTCATCATCAGAAACCACGAGGCGGTCATTAGCACGACACATATGCCATTCTTCAGGTTAGAATAGATATCAAAGTGGCCAGACGCAAATTTAGAAGGGGTTTATTAGCTTTCACTTAAAAAAGAGAAAATAGTAACGATATTTCGCTCCAAGTCTTCATTTTATCTATGACATCATATGGCTTCTAACAAGACGTCCAGTCTTTGTAAGGACTAAATTTCTTCGCCAGCTAGGGCCCCAAATAAGTGCACTCAACATACTCAGATATCATTATTTTATAAACAATAAAAAAAAACACTCGCTAATACTAGCTTTCATCACTAATACAATCTAGTACTGCGAGCGGAAAAGACTATATCACTTGGACCTAAGATTATTCTCTTCTGTGTTATTATTTGTTTTGCTTTCAGTAAAAGGCAAACAAACATAATAGAAATAAAAAAATACTTATTGAGTATTGATCTTGTAACACTTTAGCATCATTTCGATACACAATTTTTAACTTGAAGGGCTAAATCTATTGAAGTCAAGCGGGTACAAGAAAAAATTCAATACGCGAAACCACTGACGGCTTTGTTTTGATTTACTTCTTCTGAATACAACTACCTCTTAGCATGCATCCCAAAGCTCATCCAAACTTATGAGCCCTGTAATCATTGCTGTTATTTTTGTATTTCTTAATCAACTTGGTCCTCCCAGCGGAATGATGGGTAATTACTAATTAGTTATTGACATGGCCGATATTAAAAATATTATGCCATTAACGTTTAGACGGCCTCACAAAATAAAACTTTTATGCTGAGGAAAAAAAAGCTCTTTAAATCCCAGAATGGTAAGGTTTCTACAATATTTAAAACCTGAGACTTGTCTATGAAAAAAAAAAAGGCACAAAAGCACAATGTTTTTTCTTTGTTCGCGTTTATAGTTCTCTTTCTGCCAATGCACGTTTCTACTGTTTACAAAAATCACAGTCCACACGTGCTAAATCACAGTCCAGCCAGCGCTCGCTCGCAATAGACCGATCTCACTAAACCTTGGGCGCACGCGGGAAGCCACCATAACTTTAGTCATAGCCTCCTTTATACTCACAAAGCCTCGCAGTTCGATGACGGAGCCATAGGCTGCCCGTTCGCAGATATGGAGCACGAGGATCTGGCAGCACAGAGCATTTCTTGGGGAGCCTGTAGTCAGCGCGCAGCTTTTGCAGCGGCAAGGACCTGAAACGTGGTTATCAAACCTGACGAGAAAAGAAGCGGTAGCCCGAGGAACGCGAGAAGCACGAGCAGGTATTCCATCGCTCGGGACAAGTGTGTCTCTGCGTCTCGCCACAGCGGGGCGCCCGTTACATGCCCCTTGTCTGCCGCTCTACCTTTTCACTTTCGGCGGCCGCGTCTCATGGCGATCTGTCAGGATTTATGAGTATAGACCTTTCCAGAAAAGGGCTGCTGGCCGGTTTCATTTTCAATGTTCGTGCGTATCGCGCGTGATTTGCTCGCTTTCCGAAGCGACGCACACGCGCGTGCTGAGCTGTGGAGATCGCACGCTGAGCTGTGGATTTGTAAACATTGGAAAGGTCTATAGGGAGTATTCACTGGCGGCCACATCCATGTGCGCTGCTGCTGAGCGCGTGCTGACGGCGAGCTTCCGCAGTCCCTTTGGAGCGTGCATTTAGCACCATCAAGGTTGCCGGTCTTAGCAGGCTATTAATGTGAGCTCGTTCTGAGCATGCGCTCTAAACAGCACCCACAAATCCAGTGAATACCTCCTATAGAGGAAGCTATGCTTTAGTTCGCAGGAGGCAGGCGCCAGTGCCCGAGACGGCTAGTGCCGTCTCGGGCTCTGCGCGCACAGAGCTCCAGCAAGGTTGACATTGCACGTGCAGAAAGTTTAAAGTTTTCTTGACGCATTGTGGCGGCGGTGGATTAACCAAACTGGTTGGGGAAATCGGTCTATTACGGCAAGCCAGAAAGTCCGCGCGTATAACGCACAAACACAGCAATAAAAGCGCCTTCATACGTTTCTATGGAAAGGTATATGCTTACTTTAAAGCGCATTCTTGTATTTTTAAGGGGCCTGATATCGCCGCCTGTAGGTGGATACATGGTGGACACCTTCGGCTACAGGAAAGGCTCCATGTTCATGTTCGCACTTTTGTTGGCATGGGTAAGTAGAAACAACGATAATCCTATCTGCTATGAAATGCCAAGTTTTGCGCTTTTCGTTTGTGTCCGCTTAAAGAGTAAAATCAAAAGTTTATTTGAACATTATAAATTCGTTTTTGATCTCCCTTCGAAAGTATTGTTACGACAGCACAGTGCATCGCGTGAACTTGATTTTCAAGATGCATATGTGCATATGTATGTATTTTTAGTTCAACATTTCGAGTAGTTTGCTCAGTGCACAAACGCCCAGGCGCGTGGAAAATATGATCTGTATAAAAGCTTCGTGCTTGATAAGATTGCCTGGCGCAGAAGGTTTGGCTAGAAAAATTTTCAAACACATTTCTACGGACTAACGCCACTATCGTGTAGGGGTAGTAACGTAATAATAGCACGGCGTTATTACCGAAACACGAATTTTTTTTTTGTTTAAACCAGAATGCGTTTTTTGCATAAACAGTGTATTAAAAAAACTCATTTCATCATCTTGCTTTCGGCCCCTTCAATCACAAAAACAAAAAATCAAACTTCGAGTTTTCGTTACTATATTTTTCTACAACACAAAGCGCCTAAAGCTACTTAGCGACGAAGTGCAGATTTTTAAGAATAAAACTGAATAATCTCTAGCATAGTACTGAGCAGGCGGCCACTCGTTAGACGGACCTACACTGCAATAACCTTTTGCAAGATTGTCGATGCATCGATAGGGAACCTGCCAGTCGAGGAACTTGTGTTGGCGGGCTCTAGGACTCACACTAGAGGGCAACTCTGATCAATTTCAGAAAAATCTAGATAGTGGATGATCTCATTGTGAAAAGCACTAAAGAACGACCCAACGTCATTTGTTTCATGAAAAGTAAAACATTATTCGTGCAATTCTGATATTGTCACGAATAAAAATGATTAGGCGGCGAGTTAACTGGAGAAACTGAACGTTTAATGGGACGAACTTATGCCCCAAAACAAAACAGAAGAAGGTCTCAGGGTCGATGTCAGCGGAACAGCAGAATTGAGCGCTGGGGCGAATCTGACTGCGGCTCGCCATGTGGAGCCCCTTATGTACACGCCTGGAGCAATCGGCGTAGAAGGTTCGACGCCTAGAACGTTCTAACCTCGAATAAGTGATAGGGTTCTCGGATTTACCAGAACGCGACATGTACAAAAAAAAAAAAAAGGCGTGTCCGCGGCAAGGCATCGGACCTCAGCTTTTTGCGTGGGAGCCAAGCACGCTAACCCTTCGGCCACGGGCGCGCAGCCTACTTGGCCAGCTGTGCGCGCGGCATTACACCCCTTTGAAAATGTACATTCCCCCGATGCAACACAAAACAAATACTGAAGAACGGTAAACTAAAGAGTAATTTGGAACACACAAAGTCTACAGCCCTATCGAGTGTAGATTCGCTTGGGTCGAACGACATGAACCACTGCGGATCGCGGTCGGCGTCGCGATAATGCGTGCGTTCCGTATGGCACCAGCTAGTAGTTGAGATCTCCCAGCCGTTGAAGGACCTTGTATGGTCCAAAGTAGAGCTTTAAAAGCTTCTCACTGAGGCCACGATGTTGTATCGGTGTCCCCACTCACACCCGGTTTCCGGGCTGGAGGTAAACGTCCAGACGGCGCAGGTTGTAGCGGCTAGAGTCGACACGCTTTGCTGGTCTTGAATCCGGACTTGGGCGAGCTGGCGGACTTCTGCTCGTTGCGCCACACCCTGCGTGTCGTCACTTCCGTCGCCATCTGGCTCGTGAGCTAGCATGATGTTAAGCATTGTGGTCACCTTGCGACCATGCACCAGCTGCATATGGTGAAACACCAGTGCTTTCTTGAACAGCTGTGTTGTAGGCGAACGTGACATAAAAGGACCTCGTTTCACGTCTTGTGTTAAAAGTCAACGTACATCGACGCCACGTCGGCGATGGTCTTGTTTAGGCGTTTCGTCAGCCCATTAGTCTGAGGATGGTACGCTGTGGTTCGCCGGGGGTTGGTGTGGCTGAGACGGAGGATCTCTTGCATCAGCTGTGCCATGAACAATGACCTGCATCTGTAATCAGAACTGCGGGAGTGCCATACCAGAGGACGATGAACTCGATGAAAAACTAGGCGACTTCCACAGCCGTCCCTGAAGGAAGGGCATTCGTTTCGGCGTATCGCGTGAGATAATCTGTGGCGACGATTATGCGGTGGTTTCCCGACGTTGACGGCGTAAAAGGGTCAAGTAAATCTATTATCATCTGCTGAAACGTCGTTAATGAAGGAGAAATCGTATGCAGAAGTCCTGACAGCTTCGTCGGTGGTTTCCTGCGTCGCTGACACTAATGGAATGACCGAGTGTAGAGGTGAACGGTCTTCAGTAGCCTCGGCCAGTAGTACATATTCAAAATCCTGGCGAGCATCCTCCTGTAGCTAAAGTGCCCAGCCGTCGGGTCGCCATGGCGGGCTTGGAAGATATCTGCGCGAAGACTGGTAGTTGTCACCAGTAGCCAATCGGGGTTGCTGGTCAAGAAATTATTTTTTGGAAAGAACACCCCGTCGAATTCCGAAGCTTGACAAGTCTCGAGAGAAAATGCGGGTGACGGTACTTTCTTGACCTTCGAGGTGTTCAATCACGGCACGGAGTTCCCAGTCGTCACGTTGAAGTCCTGCCATGTTGGCTACCTTGACTGCGCTGAGAAAACTTTTGTCCTCCTCGTTGTCGGTTCTGGCAGGTGGTGTGACTCGACGGGGCTCTCAACAGATATTCGGCGTCACTGTGTTTGCAACCGGATTTGTATGTAATGGTCATGTCGACTTGTTGCAGTCGGAGACTCCAGCGGGCGGTGCGAACAGAGGGATCCTTTAGGTTCGCGAGCCAGAACAGCGAGTGGTGATCGGTGACCACGCGGAATTGAGTCGCATACAAGTACGGGCGAAACTTCGCTATCGCCCAGACGACAAACACGCATTCTTTTTCTGCCATTGAATAGTGGCACTCTGACTTAGACAGCGTCCGACTTCCGTATGCTACGAATCGCTCTGCACACAGCTGCCTTTGTGCCAGTACCGTGACAAGTCCGGTATTACTTGCGTCGGTGTGAACTTTTGTTTCTGCGAACTGGTCGATATGGCTATAAGGATCGGTGGTGTCTGAAAACCCCGCTTAAGCTCGTCGAATGCCCCCTGTAGTTCTCACCATTGAAACTTCACAGCGGCCTTTTTGAGATGTGTAAACGCCGCAGAAAGCTTGGCAAAATCTGGAATGAAGCGCTTACACCAGGCGCAGAGACCCGATAATCTTGTAACGGCCTTCTTGCCGATGACGGTGCAAATGCGGCTACGGCGTGCGTCTTCTCGGGGTCAGGGCGAACACCTTCGTTGCTCACGACGTGGCGTAAGAACTTTAGTTCGTCATAGGCGAAACGGCATTTCGTCGGTTTGAGGGTGAGACCAGCGGTCAAGATAATAATAATAATAATAATGTCTTTATTGCACGAAGAAAATATACATCATTACAAACAGGTCCGCAAAAGCACGTGAGTGCTTGTAGGCGTGACCTGGCAACCAGCGGAGAAACTACTAAGATCAAATCACTTGTAGTACTGCTCGAAGGCTTCTCAGGTGCTTGTAAAATCTCGTGAAAACAGAACGACGTCGTCTAAGTAGAGAAGGCAGCTCTGCCATTTCAGACCTGCTAGCATGGTGTCCATGACACACTGAAAGGTTGCAGGTCCGAGTCCCGGTCCGAGTCCGAGTCAGGTCTAAGTCCGAAAGGCATAATTTGAAACTCGTACAATCCGCCCGGCGTGACGAAGCCGGTCTTCTCGTGTTCTCGCTCGTCGACTTTGAACTGCCAATAGCCACTCTTCAGGTCCATCAGCGAAAAATATCGGGTGTGGCGCAGCCGGTGCTGGGTGTCGTCCACTCGTGTGAGCGGGTATGTGCTCTTCTTCGTCACGGCGTTTAGTCGACGATAGTCTACGCAGAACCTAAGAGTCCCATCCTTCTTCTGCAGAAGGATGACTGCAGCGACACCCACGGAGTACTTGAAAACTGGATGATGTCGTCATTGAGCATTTCTTGTACTTGTGCTTGGATTACCTCCCTTTCATTTACAGAGACTCATTACGGTGACTGGTGTACAGGGAGCGCGTTGTCGTCAGTAACAGTGCGGTGGTTCGCTACCGTCAATTGTCATAAACTTAAGGAAGTGAGAAAGCACTCAGTTAACTCGCCGAGGAGGTCAAGCAGGCGTCGTCGTCCTGTAGCAGAAAACCGGATCGAGGTGCAGTTCCGAGGTTCGCGTTTTTTGGGCACTGCGGTGAAGACGATTCCTCCAAGAGTGCAGTAATGGCGGCTGAGTCCTGAAGTTCCTTCATGTGGCAAACGGTGGTCACTTTAGTAAGGTGCAGTGGCTTTTTATCGGACGTTTATAACGAGGATTCTGGCGCACCCATCTTGAAGCTCCGTCACACCCTTTGCAACTGCGAGTTCTCTCCGTAGATACAACTGAACGCTGGCCTCGAGCAGAACATCGACGCGAGAAGCCTCATGGGTTATGACTGGTACAAAACACTTGACCGCGGCGGCAGGCTTACATGGTCGGCAAAGACACTGACCACGGATGACGTTGTTTTTGTTTCCTCCGGTGGTAGGAAAGGTTTTTGTAACGTCAACCTGTTCACTTCCAGATCAATGACAGCTCCTTACTCGCACAAGAAGTCTACCCCGAAGATAACGCCCCCCGCACAGTCCTGAAGAACGACGAACTTCACCGAACAGCTTCCGCCATGAGTCTCGACGCGAGCGGTGCATCTTCCGACGGGTGGGATGAGGTGTTCTTCAGCGGTTCGGATCTGTGGACCATCTCACGATGTCGTAACTTTCCGAAAGCGGCTAGAGAGCTTCCCACTCAGAACCGTGTGGTCTGCTCTGGTGTCAATGAGTGCCATCGCGTCGTGGCCGTCAATAACTATGTTGAGGTTATTGGGCTCCGTCGCAGGAGCGTTCTTCCGTTTCGAATCGTCGTTAGAGTGGGACACCTCCAGTGATTGGGGAGGATATTTACTTCGTCGGTGAGCGGCAATTCCTCTTCCCTGGGTTGCCGCGCTTAGGTTTCGAGGTTTGAATGGTGGACAGGCTTTTGTCAGCGGGAACGGTGAAGTGTAGACTTTGGACATCGTGGGGACGGCGAACGAGATCATTGGGTGCAGCCGGCAGCGAGAACGAACGTCGGCCCTGGTACGCCTCGATGTTTCTCGGACTCTCACCAAGGCGGGTCCGAGGGTGGTTCGGCGCGAACCCCCGGACGCCGATGGGGCGGAAGCTGCGCCGTCGGCAGACATGGCTGCAGCCTCTCCGCAGTGGTAGCAGATAGGGCGTCAGTCGGCCGTTCCTCACACGTTGGTGTTCCGGGGTGCACGGGGCTCCTGGCGTGCGAATGGGACTTGGTCGCCATGGCGTCAGGCATACTGCTCCGCTGGAGACAAATGTCGAGGCGGAGCGGCATATGGGCGAAGCGGTAGCATTCAGGCCATTGCGGCGTACGACAACTTTTGCGCCTCAATTGCAAGCACGCCCTCTGGATCCTTTGGTTCGAAGGCTGGCCGTACATTTTACCGAACCACCTCGGCTATAGGGAGCTAGACTGGGCGGGGCGTCCAGCAATGGACAGCAGCTTATTAAGCTGCTGTCTTCATGTTCTTCGGTGCACCACTACATGGCGAAATGCATCTCTGTAATGGTAAAACGAAATGACTAGGTAGCGTAAGCTACCGCCCAATCCAAAAGGCTCAGCCGGAGTCATCCATCCATCCATGATTTATGGCCTGGGGAAGAAAATATGAAATAAAAAAACTGTTCCCCCAGCTCTAAACGTAACCAAAACGGAAGTACAGTACAAAATCTACGGAGCACCGTAGATTTTGTTAGCAAATCTAATAAAATTAAAGGGTGGCATTATGTTATAGTATTTGACCTACGGTCGTTCTCGATGATACTAAAAAAACTGCATTGTTTTCTCGCTACCAAAAATGAAGCGGAGTTACCCTCCAACGAATGTGGTTTAATTATTGCATACTTTCAGGCTAAAAAATTTGCACATTTGTTACAGAAATTGGGTATCAGGGCTCGTAGGGGGTGTTCGCGCTAAGGTGCAGTCAAGCGATGTAAAGTAGCGTACTTGGTGTTTATGTAGGTGTTCGGCAGATGTGTTAGCTTTTTGTAAATGTAATACTCACTACGTGTTTTTTTTTAATTTTTATTGTGCACTCTTACATTATGCTTATTCGCATTCTTTCAGACTCCTGTGACATTTTTCCTGTGGTGGCGGTCGATATGTCAAGCAAAGAAAAAAATCACAATCACAATGGTTAGCACACGAAGGTAGTTTGCTTCTCACCTAACCATATATCTATACATATGGTGATACAAGAAGCGTCTTCATTAAGAGGTTGGAAAAGAGACAAGGAGCCCAAACATCTGCTATGAGCTGTACATAATCAAGAAACATCATCTGTGCATAAAAAATTTAATTTTATTAAAAAGCTTGAAGAGCGTTTCGGAACTGCTCATTTGATGTTCAGAGTCTATATTTATCTTTAGAATTTGCTTCAAACTGCTTCACGTGTCCTACGCAACCACACCAATAGTAAACTGTCCCATTCTCCACCTATTCCTTCCAGTGTCCCTCAACATGCTTTGTCTTAATACAGTGTACTTTAATGTGACCTTGTGCTTCACCTGTGGCCAAAATAACTCCGTGAGGTTCAGCTCACATTGGTACGGCGGAAACCACCGCACCCAGCAGGAGCGGATTTCTGGGTCAGGTCTGGGGAGGGGGTAGGCATTCGGTTTGGGAGGGGGGGAGAGGAGTCATCTGAGATATCACGTTACGGTGGAAACGTTTCGTTGACCCAATATCTGCTATGTCACCAAAGGCTAAACTTTTGGCTGGTGGATGACAACCGTCGGACGTCAATCTTCCATGTCGCGGTCCTAGCATCACATTCAGAGCTTTGTTTTTGGCAGGGCGCTTATACCATAGTTCATAACAGTACCACCGTTGGGATCAGCTCGGCCCAGAAGGTGAGATGGCAAAATCACACTTTAAATTTGTTTCAGTTCATCTCCTCGTTGTGTGTGTGCTTTTTTTATCTATGGAAGACACTCAGGCAGCCGGCAACAAAGAATGACTTATTTCCTGCATTAGCGACAATTACTCTTCGTCCCTGAGCCCGGAACTCAACTCTGACACGAATGCCAGGCTCGTTGACATACATTGCGGTCAATCAGTATTTTGACAGTTTTAATGCCGGCGTTAATTCTAGTTTGACGTTGGCGATATATCGTGCTGATCTCAGTTTAGTGTCTCCTTGACACCTGATATCCCTAAGTACCAACTGGAGGATGTTCTCCTTTAACATTAGGAACGGGTAGAGGTTCCGTCTCGGCTTCTGTAAGCCTAAATTACACCAGGAAACGACACAAAGTAGGCTTAGAACCCTGGGGCAGCTCGTCGTTGTCTCTCAAATCAGTGGCACTCTTTTTCAGTGTTTGGATCTCTCCCCCACCCCCTCCCCCCCCAAAAAAAAAAAAAAAAAACACGTGAAGTTGTGGACTACAACTGTGTGATGCACGTTAAATTCCCCAACCGAGTAGTCATATTGCACTGGCAAATGTTTTCATCTACGGCGTGTAACCATGTCGCCAAAAAAACTGGCACAATATCCTCTCGCTCTCTAAACATCGACTGACAAGATTTATAACTGACTTTTCTACCAGGGAAGATGCACTGACCCGTACCTACGGCCGCCTGAATGATCACATGATACTTTGCCCTCCTCTGTCATTTGCCACGCTGAAGTTTCACTGAGGAAGGTTTTATAGCTTTGTCTCAACGTTCTAGAGTCTGTTTTGAGTTTTCGGTGATGGAACTAAAACCTATACCTTTAGCAGGGGCAGTGGGGTTAACCACCTCATATACTTTTTTAATCTCGCTTTACTGCCTGCTCATCCAAGAATCATCGTTCGAATCCTGCCTTGCCCTTACGACAACCACCGCTGATTGTCTTCTCCGGCTTCACACAACCTTTCTCCTCATAACGTGTTTACGTTTCCCAGTGCATTAGATTTGTATCACTTGTATTTAAAACCCTTTGATCCATGTTGCTGAAAATAACAAGCTTCAACACGATTAAAACTGCTGACATTTGTGACAACCTATTTACTATAAGACCACCTTGCTGATAACATTTGCGGCAGCACGGAGCCCTAAGCACGCGCTAGTGCGGCCCTGCCTTTTTTTTTTATTTTTAGGATGTCATCCGTCAAGACTTTTGAAAACAATTTCGGGTGGTTCCGATATTAATTTTATACTAATCTCCTACAATGCGAAATTTTCGTGGTAACGGATATCCTCATCATTAATTAAAAAAAAAACCTTCACATGGCCAGTCTAACTGTACGTAATACATATGTTCCTTTTTAATCAGCCAAAATCAGCCGCGCTCTTGGGAGCGAGCTTTCTCAAAGTTATAGCTTTCTTGGTGCAACCTATCATGCATAGCAAACAGGAAGTCACGTGCGTGCCCTGGTCGGCTTTCTGCTGAATCCGACTATTTCGGCGGGAGCGGGTTTCGTAGCGGTCCTTGACAGATCTGGAGGCTGCGTCACCCAAAACGACGTCTTAAAGTAATCTGTTAATTCGGGTTGATCCAGATTGCCCGTGGGAGACGCTCGCCAAAGAAAATTCAATCTGCGAGCGCGCCAATACGGCCCGCCGAAATTGCGCGATCACTTAGTCTGTGAAGCAATTTAAAAAAAAAAAAAATGTAAGCATCCGTCAATTCCGGCCGTCGAAGTGCGCGTGGTGCAGTCGGCCACTAAGACACAACGGAGACTCCCCGGGAAGGTTTAGTTGCATTTATAAGGCGCAAGGTGACTTAGACCCTCCCTAGCCTCCGCAACAAAGCAGCCATAAAGCAGTGCAGCGAACCCACTTGTACAGAAGAGCAACTTCTATTTTTAGTGCGAAAGAATTAGCTATCTCCTGGAGCGGAGCCGGCAAAATCTGTACCCACAAAAAAAAAAAAAAAAAAAAAAAAAGCGAGATAAATGCCCATTTTCCCATTTGCTAAGCAAAATGGCTTCTAGCTATTGGCGGTCGCTTCTCTAGAGCGCGCACTCGGCCGCTGCTCTTCAGTCAGGCGTTGCCCGAGGCTAGAGAGGGGCCGGGGGGGGGGGGGGGGGGGGGGGGGTGCGAAGCTGCGGTTTCTTCACGAGAGCGCGCGCTCGCCAACCTCGGTAGTAGCGAAACTTCGTCGTCCACGCCAGTACACCGCAGACAAACTATGGGAGCGGAAGAACGGCATTCATGCTTTCGCATTTACAACTCATAACAAGTACTTAAGTGTTCTTGGAATATTACTTCGAAAAAAACAAAGAACACCAAGAAAAACAATTACCGCATCTCCACGTGGTGAATGATGTTGATGGGGCGAAGCTCGGGTGGTGCTGATGATACTGATTTTGGTCATAGGTAGTGCTGATGGTGCCGTCTTCATTCATGTCAGTAGGAGTACAGTGTTCTAGAGGGGGTTGTAGTGGCAAGAGCGGCGGCCGCTTTGTGAGGATTTTGCGCGTAGACGACACCATGGCGCTGCTGTTCTGTGACCTAGGAGCGCGCCCCCGTCAGCCCCATCATCAGCGCTGTTAGGCGCTTACTACTGTGGTTTGACTGGAGCTTTTCGCGGTGCGAAACAACTGCTAATGTTGTTCTGTATACCCTGTTTCACCTTATGATGTACCGCAGGAAAGGCTATCAAGCGCAAGCCAAAATCAGTTGCGCTCTTGGGAGCGACCTTTCTCAAAGTTACAGCTTTCTTGGTGCAACCTATCATGCATAGCAAACAGGAAGTCACGTGCGTGCCCTGGTCGGCTTTCTCTAGAGCGCGCACTCGGCCGCTGCTCTTCAGTCAGGCGTTGCCCGAGGCTAGAGGGGGGGGGGGGGGGTGCGAAGAGCTGCCATAAGCTACCACCGAAAACTCGCATATGCACAGTTCGAATTGGAGGACCCATCGTCCCTGTTGAAAAAGATTTCTACCCGAATTTCATTTCCTGTAAAAAATCGATTTTACTAGATTATGGGACTCTTTTCACTTCCGGTAAAGCCGGAACCTACCGGAAAAAATCGAATTTCCTTGGATTCACCAGAAATTGCTGGGAGTCACCGGATTTGCCGCAATTCACCGGAACTTGTCGTGTTTTCCTCTTTTTTTTTTTCGGACGTCAACGGGAGGCACTTAGGAAGAAGTGTGGTTAAGCGTGGGTGGCGTATGTCATTGTTTACCAGATGCTGGACGATTCAGTAATAATTAAAACGGTTACTTCATAAAGGCCTGAAAGTTCCATGTCTTTACTTCACAGGGTTTATACCAGTGAAACAATTTGCACAGCTGTAGACAAAACCAATCAGACCAAATAGGAACAACCGCGAGCTTTTTGTCGCAAAAAATAGCTTTCAAGGTACTCACAATGCCGCTGGGTAAATTCTTAGATGTACGGTAGTCCAACCAATAAAGCCGAGCAGGTGCGCCGCACGGACACACACACACACACACACACACACACACTGTCAGTAGCACGTTTAGCGAAAACCAGGAACGCGCACCAACATCCGCCGCCGTTGAGAATAAATCAAGGGCACAATCACGGTGTCGCCGCTGGTGGACCACGCGGACACATACACACTGTCAGTACCACGCTTAGCGAAAGCCACGAAAGCGCGGAGCGAACATCCGCCGCCATTGAGAAATCGCGGGCAGAGTCACGCCGTCTCTGATGTCTTTTCCGCTCACTGCAAGCTTCTGAAGCCGGACGGACAAAAAGGCGTAAGCAACAGGTCAATGAAAGATATTTTCTTTTTAACCGCACACCCAGCTGCTCTGGAAGATGCAGGTCGCACACATGGAACGGGAAGCCGACACTGAGCATCCGTTCGTTGCTGCTCGTTGACGGACCAAGAAACTGGTTTTCTTCAAAGCAGACAGCAAAAAGATCCCCCCCCCCCCCCCCCCCATCTTCCCCACGAACCCAATGCGAGGGAGAGAGGGTGCGTGGGGACTCGTCCTTGGTGCGTTCTAGGCAACATAATTGCACACCCAATCGCCGGTTCGTCTCTGCTTCCCCCTCCCCTCGCGTTGGCTTCCAACGGAGTTCGGTAAGCGGGAAAATGAGTCACTCGTGTCCGGTAAAAAGTTCCAGCAAAGTTCGGTCGTCTGGTAAGCAAAGTTGCTGCGGATGAATTTCCGGCAAATATTCCAGCAAATACTGGTAAACTACGTTGGTCTCGGATGAAAACGGGTGAAACTTGACCAGTTTTTAACGGATATCACTGGAAGTTTTTGCCGGATTTTTCAATAGGGAGAGCATCCGTTTAGACTCAAAAATGAAGTCTGCGCTGTTGCATTCCGCAATACAAGCATGACGCTTTGCATTGCGTAATGCCACAGCGCAGACTTAATTTTGAGATCTAAAGGGATGTTCCGCCTCATCATTCGCCGAGCTGAT